AGTAACATAGAACTTTTTGATTGAGACCTGAATATCGAACACACAGGAAAAATACACAATATGCACTTTTGAACAACAAATTTCTATTTTAAAAATACAATTACTTAAACTGCAAATATTTTCACAGTATTAAAATTCAAATCTTTTTTGTTTTTTTGATATTTTGACATAACAGTGACAATTTAAAAATATAACTTGAGTTTGTGTAAAAGAAAAGTACTAACTTTGAAAAATATATTTATTTTTATCATGAATCAGTAATAAGTATAGAAATTCTGTTATGGAAGTATGTAAATTGTGTTGCGTCAAATATGAGCAATTATATTCTTTACCCTTACTAGAGATACTATAAATAACATTGACTAACTTAAAGTTTGAACAGTTTTGAAGACCGGCTAGGAAGGGAATATATAAACTCTCACTCTAGAGTTCCATCGATTACCTCCACCTGGTGGCTAACATCTCGTATCAGAACCAAAAAAAATAAATCAAGTTGGGGGCTTTAACCTGTCACTTTAAATTCCTCTAACTCTACACTATTCAATGATTATTTCTCTATTTATTTGCACTGAATTATATGAATTACATTCTCATTCATACAACCTCATATGATTCTTTCTAATTATTAACTGAGACAATACCAACCCAGTTTTTACATGTTCTCACAATAAATTTTAACATCTGAATTGGACAAATCAAGAAGTAAATGAAGTTCATGGATTTAAGTCATCACAACTTCTTCTAACATTAAAAATCAATACTCTCCACAACTTCCATCCAAACTTTAATTACTTATCATTTTAAGGAGAAAAATAAATAAAACTACTCAGAATTCATTGAGAAGACAAAACCACACATTAATTTAAAAGTAGAAATCATTGTCAAACCAACAAGAAATCTCGATTAAAACCAAAAGTAGTTTAAAAGAAAAGATAAAAACTTATCTTAAAGCCTCCACCAAACTCTTGAAGTTTTTTTTGAATCTCTTCTCTTTTACAACACTCTCAACTCTCCAAATAAAACTAAAAACAAAAGATAAAAGTAAATTTTGTGGTGCCAAAATCTCTGCACAAGATTCTCCACGATCTTCTTCTCAGGACTCCAGCACCCTCTCCCTCTTCAAGCACCCCCTTCACAGGTAAAAATTCCATTCTTTTATAAATCTCAAAGAGGTGTCTCGATAACTTTTAAAAAATGTGTCCAAATTTGATGTATTATCCAAATGATGTCTCATTTCACAAGTCTTTTAATTATATTTTCGTTCATAGTGGTCATAACCACCATATTTAGCCAATATGTGCCTCAAATATCTCTTTAAAATTTGGCCAAATGAAGAAAAACACCAAATAACTGCCTCTGGAGCTTAAGTGCGGGGCCTCTGACTCTTAAGCGCGGTGCCTCTAGCGCTTAGACGCGGCCTTCTCTGTTTAACCGGCGCTTAAGCGCCGATCTGGCTCTTAGGCGCAAAAACACTTTAGTGTAATTTTCACCTATTTGCTCCAAATTTGATTCTTTTTAACTCCTTTTAGCAATTTTCATATTTTTACTTGTACCTGAAAGAAAAACACACAAATACCTTTCATTAAAGCGCAATATCTAAAAAATATGTATAAAATACGTCTAAAAACACTATATATTTTAGATGTATCAGCTGATTGTCACTATTAATGAAAAAAATCTTTCTGATCAATAATATTCATAGAAACTTCTGAGATGTAATCAACTAAGTGAGATATATCTCATTGGGAGTACTATAGACTCAAGAACATACAAGCATATCTAAATATTTGGTCGTGACTAGTCTACGTGGGTATTATTTCGCGAATATTGATCTAAGGCGTCTTTATCTTATCTTGTTTGGGCGGGCGTACTTGACTTATCATTGTGAAGTTCATCACACGTAGGTTATCCATGTTATTTCTCTTGTTTTTCATCCTCATCAATTGTCCGTCTTTTCCACTTCTTCTCTTCTCATGATCCCGACGAGAGATTTATTCAGAAAAATAAAGTAAACGATATATATATTATGTAAATACATTTACATGCATAAATTATTTTTAGTGCTCAGTTGTGTGCAGCACTGCTAAACAACGCTGGTTTAATCATCAAAATACTTTAAAGTGAAGTGTTTGTCACATCTTTGTATGTGGTTGCTTTTATTTGTGGATGAAGTGTCATTCCTTGTTATAGCCATTATCCTTGCTATTCTTATCATATTCATAGTTATTTTATAAGATTATAGATCACGACTATAGTTATTTTATAAGATTGTCATTCACGACTCTATTAGTTCGAGCATAATTATTATCTTACACTTATTCTAGTCTTAGTATTGCTTGCTATGCAATCACCAAGTGTCGTACTCTGTTGTTGCAAAAACTCTTGCATAGAAAAATAAATTATGCAATTATAACATTTTCTTTTTTGAATTTTTATCTTTATGAATTGACATATAAATTTATATTACAAGCGAGAATGAAATGATATACTTCTTATATCTCATACTCTTGAAAGCTTTGGCATGCTCGTGTGTGGTGGCTTACGTATGTTGTATAATCATTTTTGAATATCAACTAGCATGACAAATGGACAAAAAAAAATGTCAAATTTTTTTGGGTTTTGCGCTGACCTTTCTATTCAATAGTATATTTTAAAACTAAATGTATAAATTTTATTAAAAATAAAATAATAAGAAACTTCATTCAAAATAATTGAATTTTTTAGGATAAATAAATATATTTGATATTTAGAACCGGTTTTGTCTAGCCGGCGATAAATAAGACCCCTAAAACTAGAGAAAATTTTGCGTACCTACGCAGTGCTGCCTACGTTGGGGCGGTTATTCAAAGAGTATTGGGATTTATATAAGGGTTATATCCCCTGTAACTTCTCTATAAACTACTTGTAACTTACCTATAACTTATAAATATATGAAAATAAAAGCGTGAAACTTACTAGAAGATACAAAGATACATAAATTTGATATTTAGAATCGATTTTTTCTAGCCGGTGATATTCAGTTGTGTGCAACACTGCTAAACAACGCTGGTTTAATCAGCAAAATACTTTAAAGTGAAGTGTTTATCACATCTTTGTAAGTGGTTGATTTAATTTGTGGATGAAGTGTCATTCCTTGTTATAGCCATTATCCTTGTTATTCTTATCATATTTATAGTTATTTTATAAGATTATAGATAACGACTATAGTTATTTTATAAGATTGTCATGCACGGCTCTATTAATTCGAGCATAATTATTATCTTACACTTATTCTAGTCTTAGGGTATGTTTGGGGCAGCTTATAAGTACGGGCGGCGTTTTAAAATTGCCGCCGTACCGTTTGGTTCGCACGTTTCACCAGCTTATCTAAAACTACATTTGGGTCTTTACACTAAACGCAGACCGCAGGTTGACCCCTGCAAACTCTATTAGTTCGAGCATAATTATTATCTTACACTTATTCTAGTCTTAGTATTGCTTGCTATGCAATCACCAAGTGTCGTACTCTGTTGTTGCAAAAACTCTTGCATAGAAAAATAAATTATGCAATTATAACATTTTCTTTTTTGAATTTTTATCTTTATGAATTGACATATAAATTTATATTACAAGCGAGAATGAGATAATACACTTCTTATATCTCATACTCTTGAAAACTTTGGCATGCTCGTGTGTGGTGGCTTACGTATGTTGTATAATCATTTTTGAATATCAACTGGCATGACAAATGGAGAAACCAAGTGACATCTTTACAAAAAATTGTCAGATTTTTTGGGGTTTGCGCTGACCTTCCAATTCGATAGTATATTTTAAAACTAAGGGTCCGTTTGGGGCAACTTGTGCGTTTCAGGATAAACTGCTTATCCTGAAACACGGCCCGCGGGTCGGCCGCAGGGGTCAACCCGTGGCCTGCGTGTAGTGTAAAAACTCAAACGCAGTTTCAGATAAGCTGGTGAAACGTGCGAACCAAATGGTACAACGACGTTTTTTGAAAACGCCTCCCGCACTTATAAGCTGCCCCAAACAGACCTTAAATGTATAAGTTTTATTAAAGATAAAATTAAAAGAAACTTTATTCAAAATAATTGAATTTTTTAGGATAAATAAATATATTTGATATTTAGAACCGGTTTTGTCTAGCAGACGATAAATAAGACCCCTGAAACTAGAGAAAATTTTGCGTACCTATGCAGTGCTGCGTACGTCGGGGCGGTTATTCAAAGAGTATTGGGGTTTATATCCGGGTTATATCCCATGTAACTTCTTTATAAATTACTTGTAATTTATCTATAACTTATAAATATATGAAAATAAAAGCGCGAAACTTACTAGAAGATACAAAGATACATAAATTAGATATTTAGAACCGGTTTTTTCTAGCCGACGATAAATAAGACCCCTGAAACTAGAGAAAATTTTGCGTGCTTACGCAGCGTTGCCTACGTTGGGGAGGTTATTCAAAGAGTATTGGGTTTTATATCCGAGTTATGTCCCCTGTAACTTCTCTATAAACTAGTTGTAACTTATCTTTAACTTATAAATATATGAAAATAAAAGAGCAAAACTTACAAGAAGATACAAATATATATATATTTGATATTTAGAACCGATTTTTTTAGCCTGCGATAAATAAGACCCCTGAAATTAGAGAAAATTTTGCGTACCTATGCAGCGCTGCCTATCTCGGGGCGGTTATTCAAAGAGTACTGGGGTTCATATACGGGTTATGTCCCCTGTAAGTTCTATATAAACTACTTGAAACTTACCTATAACTTATAAATATATGAAAATAAAAACGCAAAACTTGCTAGAAGATACAAAAGATACATTTTAGCTCTAGTTATAGACAAAATTAGAGAGAAACGTCAGCAGATAATTTACAGGTAAATTAAAAGATTAGAAGAGCTATAAAACGAATGTAACACCCCAATACTCTCTATTCTACTCTTTGAATAACCTCCCGAAGCGCACGCAAATTTTGCCGGCGGAAGGAAGAGCGAAACAACTCGACTTCCGTCGAAGCAGCAGCACACAGAGGAGCTTTCCCTCTCCTCCACTCTCCCCCCTTCCCAACCCACCCCCCCGCCATTTCTTCCCTCTTCATTACTTCTTCTCTCCATCCCATCTATCATTAAACAATTTCCAGATCTAACATCCCCTTTTTTCGATCGAGTAAACGTTTTTTTTTTGGATTACTGGATCAGCAACCGCCCCATGTATTGATCTAAATTCCTGTTTTTTTTTCCTACTCGTTTCAATGTAGGACTATCTTCAACGCGATGAAGATTGGGGAATATGCTGATAATAGCAGCAAGAGGCGACTGCAGAACCGGAGAGCGATGCAGTACATCGCCAAAGGCACGGCGGAGGGAGTAGTTAGAGAAAATTCGCCTTCCTGTCGGCACCCAGTATCATCTCTTTCCTCATCGGAACATTTTTTTAGTAAGATCTCTCGGAAGAAATACTTTTCTCCTTATTTGTCGGAGGAAGCCGCGGAAGCTGCCGTTGTGAGGGGGAACGCATTCAAAGCCACCTTCCGGGTGAATGCTTACAACCGCCTGGAAGCCTATTGCACCATCAAAGGTGTACCCATCGATGTTCTCATAAATGGAGTTGAAGCGCAAAACAGGGCTATTGAAGGTGACGTGGTTGCAGTAGCGTTGGATCCTGTGACTAAATGGACTAGGTTTAAAGGAGCAAGTGCAAATGGGTCGCTTAATTCCATTCCGGCTAATGAACCTTGCAGTAACAGTGGTAGGCCCGATGGAAGTGATGTTCTTCTACAGAATAGCTCTGACGCAAACTCATCAACAGAACCGGAGGAGGTTAAACAATCTTTGGCGAGAATTTGTTCCATGGTAACTTGTAACCCTCTGAAACGACCTACAGGGAGAGTCCTGGCAATTTTGAAAAGCTCTCCTAAAAGGGCTTCTGTTACTGGTTTTTTTTCTTTGAAGCAATCTCACGAGGACGTTGAAGGTTTGGTAAGCTTGGTTAAGGGTCATTTTTTTAAGAAAAACGAAGAGGAATGGATACAGTTGATGCACACAGATCATAGATTTCCGAAAATGATGGTCAGTGTTAGAACTCTTCCTGAGAGTATAAAAGAACGGGTGAAGGCTGGTGATGTTACAGTAGAAAGGGAACTGGTTGCTGCAGAGATTTATGATTGGAATGAGGAAACTCAATACCCTCATGCCCGGGTCATAGATGTTTTCGGCAGGGGTGGGGAAATTGAACCACGAATAGCTGCTATTTTGTTTGAGAATTCAATCTGCGCAGCAAAATATTCTCCAAACTCATTAGCCTGCCTTCCAGACATGCCATGGAAGATCCCTGATGATGAGTTTAAAAGCAGGAAGGATCTTAGAAAAGTCTGTTCTTTTACTATTGATCCTTCTTCTGCTATTGACCTTGATGATGCTTTATCAGTGGAAATATTGTCTGGTGAAGTACTTCGGATTGGAGTTCATATTGCAGATGTTTCATACTTTGTTCTTCCTGATACAACTTTAGATGCTGAAGCTCAAGCAAGGTCTACAAGTGTTTATGTATTACAGCACAAGTTGCCAATGTTGCCTCCATATCTTTCCGAAGAATTGTGCTCACTTTTGCCAGGTGAAGATAGACTTACCTTTTCTATTATTTGGGACATCGATCTTTCTGGAAAAATTATCAATCGCTGGATTGGGCGGTCCATTATTAATTCTTGCTGCAAACTATCATATGATTTTGTTCAGGCTGTAATTGATAAATCATTTGATTTTGATGAGCATATTCCTTCCTCCAGTACAGGCACTAAGTTATATGGCGACTTTACTTTCAAGGATGTCATTGAATCTCTTAGAATTCTATATGAAATTTCCAGCAGGCTCCGAAAAACCAGGTTTAATGGTGGTGCTCTTCACCTTGAAACCATTAAAACTGGTTTCTTGTTTGATGAGTATGGGATACCATATGATAGTATGATATGTAAGAGGATGGAGTCCTGTTTTCTAGTTGAGGAATTTATGTTATTGACAAATATGTCTGTGGCAGAGGTCATTTCTCAAGCCTTTCCTGATTCTTCATTATTACGTAGACATCCAGAGCCAAATTTAAGAAAGCTCAAGGAGTTTGAAACATTTTGGGGTAAACATGGCTTAGAGTTCGATACTTCATCTTCTGGTCAACTTCACCTTTCCCTTGTAAAAATCAAGGAGGAAATTAAAAATGATCCTGTTTTGTTTGATATTGTGGTCTCTTATGCGTCAAAGCTCATGCAGCCAGCAGTATATTTCTCCACTGGAGATCTTAAAGAGAGTAAAAATGAATGGGCTCATTATTCTCTTAATGTTCCCTTATATACTCATTTCACATCACCAATTCGAAGGTATCCTGATATTATTGTACACCGTATCTTATCTGCTGTTCTACATGCTGAGAAAATGTATCTAAAGCAATGTGTAGACAGGCTAGAATTATCTGAAACTGAAATTGTAAACACATATTTTACTGGACTACGCTTTAATAAGAACTCTGCTGAATCTATATATGGTAGGGAAGCACTATATTCTTCTGCATTGAAGTTCAAAATACCGGATGGCAATGCTTTGGTAGAAATTGCTGCACATTGTAACGAAAAAAGTCTTGCTAGCCGACGAACTGAGGAAGCTAGTGAGAAATTATACCTGTGGGCTCTTATGAAGAAGAAGGAGACCCCCTTAGTTACTGAAGCCAGAGTTTTGGCATTGGGACCTAGGTTTATGTCAATTTACATACCATACTTTGGCATGGAGCGGCGGATATATTATGATGAAGTTGATTGCCTGTGTGCTGAATGGCTTGAAATGACTGGTAAGTTGGTGCTGGATTTGATTAGGGGTAAGATAGGCAAGAGGAGGAATAACCTTGGGAATTTCCGTCCCCTTGAAGATGTTGTATTATTGACATATCCATCAGCATCAGATCTTGATGAAGAAAACACTGAAACAATTAGTTTTGGACCATGTTCTGCCAATGTTATCACTGAAAAAAGTAAGCTGGAGGATGTTTTCTTTCCTCTGATATTGCAGAATTTGTCGTATGTCCCCGTTGCTCTCCATGCCATTGGTGGAGATAATGGTCCTGTAGATATAGGAGCTAAATTATTTGTGAGCTCATACTTTAATTAGTTGCCGGTGCTGTAGAAGTCTCTGGGCATAGAAGCTGATGTTGAAATGAGGATTTTTTTTTTTAAATATTGTTGATCTTAGGCTGAAAACAAAGGATGATGGAACTTTTACCCACAGGATTCCTGAACCAACAGCTCTTGATTCATTAACACTTATTCTAGGTATGTTGAATTGTTGAGGCTTCTTTCGAAAATCATTTTTCTTTCTTCAAAAAACGGTGGACAGTACTTTCTATCCCGACAAAATTTTCCATGTTAACATCTTTGAAACCTGTTCTTCCTTTTTTTCTCTAATCCTTTTCGCACCTGTAATACCTACTTTATTATCGATTTTGCAGGTCTAACTCCCATTCCTACCTCCTACAACATTGAGCCCAAATGATACGCTGATAACGGTGCAAAAAGGTGCTTTGTCATGTCCTATTGACTGTTATGGTTGATTTATGCTGAAAGCAACAAATTTTAGGAGACATGCTATACTAACAAGCTTACACTTAAATTAGTCTAATAAAACAATCTATTTTTCATTAATATTTTGTCATTTACCTTTTAATATAGTGTTAAAACTTTTACGCGCAAAAGCCATCTCTTCTTGAGTTGGAGGAGAATTTCAAATATATATGTGTATAATTTTCTTCTCGGATCTATTTTATCTTGTCCTCAAATTCTAGTCCTATTTCTTTTTGGATGATCACCTCAGGCATGTTTTTGTATATAGAAGCTGGAACAATGGAGATTAACTTCAAACACTGTGCAAAACTATATCAATTGTCTAGGTTGTTAATTAAGTGAAATCAGATTTTACGGTACCAACGAGGACATGAAGCATCTTTTTTATTTTTCTATTGGTTTGAAGTGAAGCAACATCCAGCTGTCTGAAGTCTCTATGAGAAATCATCTCTCTCATGCCAAGTTCAGTGTATGATGCCAATCATCTTGTGAAATCACTCAAACGAAGACTAAATATATGCAATAATGCTAATGCTCGAAGTAAAATAAGAATAGAACACACACACATACATAGATATATACTGCCACAAAAAATAGAAAGTTGATGGTGTAACCTTGAAGGCTACTTGAAGGCTGCAGAGGGGGACACCATGTAAATTGGTGGACAACAAAATTTTAAAGTATGAGTTACATTGATCCATGTAAATTGCTGGGAATGAAAAGCTGAGGGCTAACAGATTCAAGGAGCCTTTGGAAATACCATCTGAATTTATGATTTTGCGGCAAGCATTTTTCATCCTCTTAATGTTTATATGATATCAGGGCATTAGGTTTGACACTCAGGCTTTTAATTTCCAACTTTCTTTTATCCCAATGTCCTTCTTTTTCTTCTTCATGTTTAGGAATTATGACTTTCCAGAAGAGAGTAAACCATCGTAAATTATTAGAATTAAACCATTTCAATCAAATCTCATGTTGATCAAATGGAAGAAATTATATAAAGTTGTCTAAGATTGTGAGCACATTCCTAAAGGAAAAAGGAAAACTTTATGACCATGTTGATCTTCCTTTGGATCACATCCCAAATTTTACTCTTTGGATGAGAGAGACTCCATGATGTGATGGTTAGTCTTAGTGGACCTTATGCTTCTCTCACATCATAAAATGAGATATGTGATGCCTTGAGAAAATTTTACTCAAAAGTCAAGGATGTTGTTTTTATTTATATGATTAAGATAAAACTCTTAGCCATCAATTAAGGTAACATTTCTGCCAATGAATATTTTCTAGTTCATGTTATATTATTACCAAGATTGCAACATGAAACATATTAATAATATTGTGATTCCAAGATATTATGTTGAAAGATGAATGATATTTGATTTTTTTGTAGTTAACATAGAATTTGATTAAGTTTTATTTGAATATTCGGCATAGAAATCACACCTCTTAATGAAGTCTCTCTTTTATGTTGGCTAAAAGAAGGGCCATTTACAAACACCCAACTCAAAAGGTTCAGCTATGAAAAACACAAAACTCAAGTTCGAGGATTATGCCACTAACTCTAAAAAAAATTCTACTAGAAAGGCAATTTGTGGTGTTAAGATGGAGGGTATTTCATAGAAAACTGTTGGAAACTCCATTAAAGCTTTTAAGCTTGTGATGGATACAAAAAGGTCAATCTAAAGGCATGCCGTTTCAAATTGATTCAAGGACTCAACTCAAAAAAATTTGAAAGGCCAAGGGACTTTCTCAATTCTCTAGAAAAACCATTTCGATCTTATTCTTTAGCTTAAAAATGACAAAGTTTCTAATCATTTTATCTTGTATACCTTAAATATTTTCCATATTACATTGGTAATAAACTCAAATGTAACTCTTTACTTGAGAAATTCTGTTAATATTTTCCAAATTCACCAGTTCTGTCCAAGCAATACAAAAATTTAAGCCGACAATGATTCCTTTATTGCTATTATAAGACCAGAAGATATTTCCTCTTTTGTTTCATTTACTTATAACAATGCACTTCATGTCTCTCATCTTAATGTAGTTCTCTTATTTATTCATAAATTAACTTGAGTACAAAATTACAAGGCGATCTTTTTTATAGATCCTTATAATTCAAGATTTAACTATGGGTAATATGTTTGGGCAACATAGAGAAAATATTATAGTGCCATACCTACTTCAACGCAATAACGGTTGTAACAATTTTTTTATTATTTGTTTCTGATAAAGATAGTATCTATGATCATCATTATATATTAGGAATTCATATTTTTAAAATTACTTTTTTATTAAAAAATATCGATATTTGAAAAATTACGCTTCAAAACCTATGGATTACTAAACATTATAGATTATTTTTAAGAGAATCTCAACCATCTACTCTTTTTTTGGCAATTCACCTAATACTTGTGGTCTCTCAAAAATCCTTAATATCTCCACGACTAAAGAATTTATAACATTTATTCATATTTTTACATAGTGAAATTAGTAATCATACCAAATAAAATCTAATGTCAATCATATTTAAACTTTATTACTATGATAAAAAAATCAGTTTGGTGCCAACATTACAAAAATTAGCACCACTAAATATCATGACAGCCAAACCTTATTTTTTTTCAATAAAGAAGATATTATTTATCATTCATCTTATCACAACATTTCATAATAAATTTTAGGGGTTGAAAAAAAAAAAGCATCTACCACAAATTTGAACTTCCAAAATTACACTCCCAGAGGATATCGGGCGAGGTCATGACAACATGGATGTATTTGTTTTATAGCATATCGTTTAGAATGATTAACTTCAAAAATTCCCCAAAAAGATCACAATTTAGTTTTTTTTTAAAGAATGATTTCTTAGTAAAAAATCATTTTAAATATTTGATTGTTTTATGTATGGTTTTTAAAACTTGATTGGACTCCCCAGTTTTATCATTTCAACCATGAATAAGTCATTCAATTAGTTTGATTTAACACAAATTTATTTCTGTATAAGATAGGGATTGAATCTACTAGAACTGTAGTCGAACCGTCAAGCTTGTGTACCAATTTATTTTTGAAAGTGCTAATCAATTTAAATATTGTTCAATTTTAGCATTTTGATTTTGATCAGATAGACAATAATAAGACATTTAAATTGAAAATAGAGAAAATTTCGTGTTTTAAATTTTTGAATTAAAAATTTATCCAAAATATTCAAAATTGTATATGAAATTATAATATTATTTATTAATCTGATAAAATACTATAATAGATAATCATTGTATTATTTAAATTATATTTAACTTATTGAAGTATTTATTATGTCTTTCGGTTTAATTTCCGGTTCAACCCTGGTGGAACCATTGAACCTTAAACATTTTATTCTTGTGGTTTGATATATGTTTTGGTTTTCACAACCTTAGTTTTATGTGAACTTTCATAAATGACTACGTGTAAATTGAACCCTCAAGCACGTGAATAAATTCTTTAAAATATTAATGCACTTGATTATCTTTCTTAAAATATCAATGCACAAAAAATATGTAGAAAAGCTATCCTTCAACCACCAAAAACTTCTATCAAAAGATGTTACTTGTGATGAAAAATAAATTTTTTTTTCATAGAATAATCTTTAGACGAAAAGCAATCATGTAGAAGATTTATCTAACAAATTTGGTATTTTTTTCTCTTGACCATTCAGTTACCAATACATATGATAAAGTCTTCTAAACTCCTGCATATCCAAAATTTGAAACTTTTGTTAGGTAACCTTCACATGTTTTCTAACAATGATCTTGATCAACCAACCTAGTGCTAACATTCCATATAACCCTATCTATATATAAATCTTTTAAAAATTTCTCGCATACACATATTACCTATATTACAATTATTAATTCCAATGAAATTTCCCAAACTTTTTTTATGGAATTAAGAAATAAGAATTGGGAGAATGTGAGAGAAATAATAAATGCCTAAAAAAATTCACAATTGGGAAATAAATGTGCTCTGAAAAGAAAAAATGGTTTGTAGGATTTTAATGGGTTTTCGTATAAAAATATAAAGTTGATTAGAGCTTGGAAAGACAAAGTCACGCTAGTAGCTAAATAAAATATCCAATTCTTTGATATATTTTGTTTAGAAATGTGTGCTATGGTTGCAAAAACGAACATAATTTTCATCCTTCTATTTTTTGCTACTAACTTTGGACTGTCCATATAATCATATGTAAAGAATCTAATTTTTTGTGATGATTCGGCAGAAGTTTTTTTTGTGGAAGCCCCATCAAAATTCAACAATTGCTGTTAAAAAAAAAATGCAAACTAAAAAAAGGAACTATTCAGATTAAATCAATCTTTTGGGCTTTCAAAATATTCAAAATTTCATGATTAGAATGGGCTATTGAAAATTCCAAGAACTCTAAACACTATTTATGAAATACTTTAAGGGAAAGTGACAATTATTATTGCATATACTAATGATATAAATGTTACAGTTTACGATAATGCAAAAAAGAACCTCTCAGGGTAAAGGTCACTATGAAATTTGAAGTCAAAGAATTCCACAAACTTGAATAGTTTCTTGTTAGAGAATTGTCTTAATAAGAAAATCATATTTCTCTCATAGTCCAAGTGTACCTTCGACCAATTAAGAGACTCTAATATGGCAGATGTGAAGCCATGGGAAACTCTAATATAACTAGCCTAGAAACTTGATACTAATATGAAGGAATTAAAGCTGATGAAGGATGATATCAAAGATTAGATTAAAAAATAAAATACCTATGTCATACTCCCCAAATATTGCATTTGTCATAGGTTTCATGAGTTAATCTCTACTTAAACCAAAGAAGATTCACCTTTAAACTATTTAAAGAGCCTTGAAGTATTTAATATCTAATCCTAAAAAAATGAATTTCTTATAAAAGATGTGAAACTCCAAAACTTGATCCTATCCATGTG